CGTGTGCTTCCAAAGATCTGTAGCATCAAAATCTTAGCAGGTCTGGCTGCAGTGAGCGCACGGCTCCATGCTTGTGGTTTTTATAAATGGCTGCGGGGCTGGAATTGACTTGTAATTAGGGTGGCGTGGAGTTGGTGAGGAATTATTAAACACTCCAGGCTCTAATGAGTTGATGAAAGTAAAAACACGGAGCGCTGACCTTTTCCGTGGAATGTTTATGCATTCCCATTATGTTTTCTGCTGCGAATCAGAGGCTGTGGCAATGTCTGTTGACACCGGGCCCTCGCTGTGCAGTGGGGGGGGTGCGTAATTAAATCAGACCTGTTTGCATGAGCAGGCAGAATTAAATCAGACCTGTTTGCATGAGCAGGCAGGGCAAATGAGTCACGGCATGCACCTCTCACGCGTGTTCACAAGCAAATATGGATGAAGGTGAGTTCTTTTTCAAGTGCTCTCAGAAGTTCTGAGTGAAAAGGCCTTACTGTTTTTGACACTGTTTCATCAGGCACAAACCCTGAAGGTTAATAAATGCACTGGTTAGGTTTAGATGCGTCTGAGAGAATCTAAATATTTATTGGCTTTGTTTCCATACAAGCTGAACCACAGAACTGTGTAGTGCTTGTGTATTCTAGTGCTGTGCTTATTTATTTCCAAGATTACACAGCTGTTATATTACATTATTCAACATCAGCATCATTTTAAGCATTTTGAATTATACATAGATCTTAGTACTAATCAAATGATTGGATTTGTGGATGATAAAATGCATAAAAAATCCCATAAATTTACACTGTAGGAGGGAGCTGAGACAAATCTCTCTTGGGCAACCACATAGCAAATACCCTAGCAACCACCTAGCAATGCTAAAAACACTCCGAACACTATAGCAAGTGCATAGCAACGCTATGGCAATGACATACAACACCCTAGCATTGTAGCAGCGAGTTTCGTACTACTCACCACAACACTATATTTTAAAATGTAAAAACAACTACATGCTGTATTATGTATGCCAGGCCAGTAGTTGGCGATGTCACTTTGTAAAGAAACATTACGCACCTGAGCACATATGCATTCTTATAGACTTAACACGTAATAAGCATATGCATGACAGCACTGTTTTCAGCACTGTGTTTGCTGTTTACATGAAGACGATAACAGCATCGTTTTCAAAAATTTGCACTTTGAAACCCGTTTTTCAAAAGTTAGCATTTTCAGGCCCCCAAAATGCCATTGTCCTGTAAATGAACGGCCAAAAATGCCTAAACGCATAAAAAAGTTTTCCGTTGAAAACGGTGTTGTGTAAATACCCCCTAAATATGGTGAATGTAGTCACACCTTACAGCTAAATTAACCAATCAAATTTTTGATGGACGAATGAAAGTCCCACCTTAAAAGAGCCAATCGCATTTTTCACAGAGGAATGAAAATCTCACTGTTGTTCTGCAAATTTTCACCACGGAAATCCAGTCAATAGTAATCCACGTGACTGGGAATTTCACAAGGGCAGAATATTTTCCTACGCACATTTCACATCTGGTTCAGGTTGGTCATGCTTGGTTTGATATGGGTTTTATGCAGCGTGTTTTCGATTTTTTTCAGCATTTTAGCATTATTTTAACAATTTTAGATGATCATATATCTTAAAGTGAAACAATTAGAATAACTAACAATGGATCCATAGCAGATTACATATAATAATGGATCTGTTTTGTTCCATTTCACTCTTTTTCGCTCTTTTCAAGGCACTTAAATACAATAGTTATAATGGACTGAACTTCAACCAAATGATAGCAGTTGTTTTCATCTTGGCACAGGTTATCCAGCTCTAAACTGCTGTGCTGCTCTTTGGCAGGGCTTTGGTCTGCTGGGTCTGTTTCCTGTGCTGATGAGATGTATGAAGGATATGACATTAGCAAAACTCAGCGCTTTGTTCAGAATCGCCTCTTATGTCCTACTCGCCCTCTCAAACAACACATGGATGGTCTTCCTCGGTAAGCCCCCATCACTCTGTGACTCATGATTTAATAAATGATGTATTGACATAATGAAGCTCCTCGCAAAGTTATTGTGCATGAAGAATGATCAAGAAAATCATTATGTCAAGTTAATGACATGAATGTCAATGATGTGATTTGTTTTGTCCAGACCTATTAATTTATTCAAAAACTCATAAAAAAAATGCAATTCATACATACAGTGACTTGAATACACATATTCTATGGTAAGGTATTGTTGATTTCTGAACGTTGATTAAAATTCATTCTTTCTCGTTGGCATAAAGTAAAAGAAATCATGTTCTGAAGGAAACAAAACCTCAATGAAAAGATTTACGAAGAAAGTGATGCAACTTAATACTGTAATATAATTATTTTAAATTGTATCATTACCACCCAAAAAAAAAAAAAAAAACCTTTTTTGAGCACAGATGCAAAAAAAAAAAAAAGGTAAATACATTTCAAGTCAAGTCAAGTCAAGTCTGCTTTATTGTCAATTCTTCCACATGTACAGCACATACACACAGAGAATTGAAATTGCGTTACTCTCAGACCCTTGGTGCATACAGATAACACTAACAGTAGAACACTAACAGTAGTATTTGAACATTTATACTGTTCAAAATAATTTTATTTTCAAATAATTATTGTTCTGAACTTTCTATTTATCAAAGAATCCTGGAAAAGTATCATGGTTTCCATAAAAATATTACACAGCATGGCTGTTTTCCTTGATACAAATAAGAAATGTTTCCTGAACATCAAATCAGCATATTAGAATGATTTCTGAAGAATCATGTGACTGAAGATTGCAGTAATGGCTTTTAAAATATATTAAAATAGAAAACAATTATTTTAAATTGTACTAATATTTTACAATAGTACCTTATTTTATATTTTATTGTATTTTTGAGCCATGGTGTGCATGAGAGACTTTCAACAATCAAACTTCATACAAGTTTTTAACTGTAATGTACTGTATATCATATATATGAATCTGACATTTTTTGACAACTATATCACATTTTTTTTTAAAGTTTATATATATATATATATATATATATATATATAGTATATTTTACATTTATATTTGTCATTGACTTGGTAGTATTGTTGTGGTAGTAATATGTGTCATATTGACACACAGTACCGTGGAAAGGTTTTACTCTTTAAGATAGTTAGAAAGCACAACTGACCCCATTTCAAATCTGTCAGTGAGCATATCAAAGCACATCTCTCTTCCCTAAAACAACGTAGATTTCTTTTGTCAGCATGTGACATGCACAAAGGAAATATTTCCCACTCGAGGCCGACAATCTTCACTTGAGCTGACTGTTTTAACAAGACAGTCAAATGGGTAAATGTTTTGGGAAAAAAAGTCTACCTGACCAGACTTTTTATGGTTCACATTCATTCCTCACTGCTGTCTGAACTCCTTGCCTTGTTCCAGGGGTGCTCCACCTCCAAAGAGGAGTTCTCAGAGTGCTAAGTAATGATAACATTGTGCCGGCATTCATAGACTGCCACTTTCAGGGAGAGACAGCCGATCGGCGTTAATACTGTTAATTACATAAATGGTTGTGGAAATTGTTATTCTAATCGATGTGGAGGATGAAAGCCTTTTAAAGGGAGATGAGTGGCGGCTCTGATGAATAATCAGTGCCAGGGAGGGTGGAATTTGCATGCTAGTCTTTTCTGTTGGCTGCGATAATGAGGGGCACAGCAGTGGCACATGAGTAATAACCTCCATTCTGAAAGTACAGCGCATGTGTAAATCGGCACACACACATAGACACGTGCGCACACAGATACACCCCACCGCATACGCATCAACGCAAATACAGAAAATCTTTTGTTCTCTTGAGGATCAGTTTTTCTTGAACATGCACGATCAGGCTGCTGCGACGAGCGAGTGACTTTACATTCTGAACCATTAGGAAAAGCCCATGCTCTGTAATCACAATTACCTCACAGAATTTCATACATTTAGATTAAGCTCATGAATTATTGAGTAACCCATTTAGAATCTCTTATACTTCGGAACTGGTTAGCATTCCTCTGGTCTCACCACAGAGATTAGTTAACTGTGGCTTTATGTTTAACGTTAAGTAATGTTTCGTAAGCTGTGTTTAATATAGTGCATGCAGGTCTATATGTGACCCTGGACCACAAAACCAGTCATAAGGGTACATTTTTCGAAATTGAGATTTATACATCATACAAATAAGCTTTCCATTGATGTATGATTTGTTAGGATAGGACAATATTTGGCTGAGATACAACTATTTGAAAATCTGGAATTTGAGGGTGCAACATATTGAGAAAATCGCCTTTAAAGTTGTCCAAATTAAGTTCTTAGCAATGCATATTACTAATCAAATATTAAGTTTTAATATATTTACAGTAGGAAATTTACAAAATATCTTAATAGAACATGATCTTTACTTAATATCCTAATGATTGTTGGCATAAAATAAAAATCAATAATTTTGACCCATATATGTATTTTTGGCTATTGCTACAAATATACCCCAGCGACTTAAGACTGGTTTTGTGACCAGTCACATATAGTAATATAGTAATATATTATAATTGTTTACTGTTAATCTTAGCAGTTTTTTGGTATTTAACTGGTATTTAAGTTTGTGTGGTATGTCCTGTGGTTTTGTAGTTGCTGTAGTTGGCGCTCCATCTGGTATCAGCCAAGCAGTGATTCGTTCTTTGTCTTCTGCCATCGTGGGACATGATGAACAAGGTATTGTGTTTGAAATTCACAATTCAGTGAGAGAAAGAGAGAGACATCACAAACTAGGAAGTACTAAAATTATGAACTGCCATGGTTTTGAACCCAGTAGGATGGTAAAATCATGGTTTTTGGATGGTCCTTTTGGGAATTATCTTGAGAAAAATATCCATGGTAGTTATAGTAAAACCAAAATAACCACACATTTACAATTGTGTTGCTTCATTTACCATATTTTTAACTGTGATATCTGTAGTAAAACTATAGTAATAAAAATGATAATAAATCTGAAAAAACAAACAAACAAAAAACATGGTTTTAGTATAGGGTACTGTTAAGGGGCGACAGAGACGTGAGACATGCGGATCCATCTGCAAAGCTTTTCAGCAAGGCAAAGGGTAAATCCAAGACAGGCTATACACTTCAGGGCAGGCAGAAATCAGACAGAACGAGATAACAGGCTAGGGTCAAGACACGGGAAAACAGACTGAACAAGGCTAGACTCATGAACTTGGAAGGGTTCCGTAAAGTAGCTATCCCTAGGTGAGCAATAAATGCTGAACAATACTCGGCGTTGAATGGTGGTGTGAGACTGATTTATATAGTGTGTGTTATTGGTAGCAGCTGTGTGTGATTGGTTTCAGGTGAGCTTGTGATTAGTGCAATGGAGTATGGGAAATGTAGTCCAGGGTGATGTGTAACAGTCTGTGTGGTGTGAGAGTCAATATCATGGGAGGGCAACCTCTGGTGGCAAGTGGATGGAAGTTCATGGACCGGATTCGTGACAGGTACCACGGCAATAGCACATGTTCGTGGACATAGTAGGTTCGTGAGTAGCATAGCAAAATCTTATATACATATAAATATATACATAAAGCTCCCCAAAAAAGCTTCGAAACGAAGTAGGTTTACCAAACAAGTGTAATTTTCATAAGGAAAATGCCATGGTAATACTGATTTATTTATTTATTAATTTTGCTCTGGTTTCATGGTTTTTCATTTATTTGTTTGTTTGTATGTATGTATGCATGCATGTTTGTAGGTAGGCATTTATTATTTTATTTGCAGAAATACCATGATACTAATGTGGTTTCTGTATAGATACCATGCATGGTAATACCTTGTTTTTGCACATGTACCATACTAAATAAATGCATCTATATTTGTATAGTTGCTTTGAAACTATATGATAAGACTGCTCAAATAAATTAAATTGTTCTGAATAACAGAGGGAATACCATGAATATACAGTAGTAATCATTCAGTACCATGGTATTATCATCTGAACCCATCCCTGTGAGTTTTTTATTAGGGCGCATCGCATTGTGTAATGTGTACATCACAGCATTGCTTTCTTCTCCCTGTTTGATCTACAAGCCCACAAATGAGCTGAAATATCCTGAGGAAACTGCAAAGTGTTTTGACCTTCATATGACAAATAGATTTGAGTCATGCTTTTCTTCTAAATCTTTACTTTCTTTGACAGTTGTTTCTGCCTGATAACGTAGCTAAAAGCCCAAGATTTAATCTCCATTGTCCTTTCACAAATCCTTAATGAGAGGCATCGCAGTATGCATAATTAACCGGGGAACTGAACACCGGCTTTCTCAAAAAAAAAAAAAAATCATAGAATTATCAAACTCGGCTAAGTGGAAAACAATGCAGGAAGAACAGAGAGACAACAAACAACCTCTTGAATACACTTTTATATTCATATATCCACCCCTGCTTGTGTCCACTCACAGAGCGTGCAGCTGTAAGCCAAATCGAAAGGAAATATCCATTTAGTTTGTGGACACAAACATTTTTCTTCCCATTACTTTTATTTATTTTCCTGTTGATGCAAGTGATACAACTGTGAAAAGACATAGTGATAGCAGGCCATTCCCATCCATAAATGCACTGTTTTCACCATGCAAGCCGCCTTTCTCTACTTTGACAGCCATTTCCCGGTCTTGTGTCTCAGATTGCATGTGTCACTGACTCTATTGCAGTTTCCAGTCGTTCCGGGGCACTCACATGGCTTCCAGCTCCAGTGAAGATCAATAAGTATTGCATGTTCCAGGCACTTACGGGCTGCCTCGATGCACAGTGACTTCTTCTGCTCTAGTTAGTCAAAGCAGTCATGAAGTTCAGCGTAGCTCAGGAAGATATTTTATCAAAGTGGATCAAACCATTATTCATGCCAACGATCTACTGCACAGACCTCAGTTTCCACAGCTATTATTCTTTCATTCAGATAAAATCATAGGTTATGAATTTCAGGTGCATCCACGGCATATTAATGAAACGCCACTAGCTTTATTCACAATGTTTGAAATGCCTCTATCAGAAACACGTTTTCAATTTAGGGGTAATTGTTGGGCTCCAGTAATATTGAAATAATTTTTATGTATGTTTGTTTTAAATAAAATACATTTATTAAAATAAAGCGCACAGACACACACACACACACACACACACACACACACACACACACACACACACACACACACACA